TCTTCTTGAATATCCTCTTGAACATCAGCAACGAAGTCAGTGTAGGAACGTTATTTGTATTGTCTTTGTCTTTACCCACCATCACATCCAAAGGTATCCTCATCTCTTTTCCAAGCACGAGCACAAACGGGGTGTGCTCCGTGTAGGAATTATCACTACTGTGATAGGCCATCATACAGACATTAAGGTGTTCATCCCATGTAACTGGACTACCTGAAACTTTAGCTTTCAACATGCCCTTTAAAGTCTTGTGCAGATTCTCGACTTGGCTGTCGCACTCGGGCTGATAAGTGCTCGTGCGCGTTTTGTTAACACTTAACTGCTGGCACATCTCCAAGAATATCTTAGACTCGAAATTTCGGTCATGATCGCCATGAATGCTGTCAGGCACTTTTGAGCAGGTTATGGCACGCTGGTTGAAGATTGCAAACGCCTCCGCCCATTTGGTTAAACTGCACTGAACTGTTAAGATGTGGCAGTCTCCTCTCCGAGACCATGGCAAGGACCAATATGAATGCAACGCATGAGGTTGCCAGAGGGAAATGACTGCAGTGGTACTCTGGGTTTTGCTTGCCTCACACTTGGCACATCTCAAGAAAAACCGTTCAGTCCCTCTCGTACATTTAATTGAAATTCTTATAAGGAACTTCGCAGAAAAGATACCATTTACGAGGTATTTGCTTTTTGAAATGGGTTTTGTCGAAACAGGTATAGACACATGGCTGGGTATAAGGAATTTGTAAAAGACCTTGGGATTAGTACTGAATGGAAAATCAATAAGGACACCAAGAAGTTGGAGTACAGAGATCTTACAGGGTCTGAAAAACTCTTGCCTTTTCAACACATAAATTTCTATTCACTATTATCAGATTGCCATGACGCGAATAAGCTGCAAGCCCTTTGGAGTAGTTTCACGAATATTATAGGTGATCTTAAACTAGATTACACAACATATTACGCTATAAATGACTGTAAATATACGAAAATCATATATGTGAACTGCGGATAAAGAAATGAATATGGAAGGGATCTCTGCATTAATGAACACTATTTGAGCGGTAGCAAAATATTTTTTAGGCCTTATTTTAACTACCACTTAAGTAGTGTTCATTACTGCGAAGATCGCTTCCCTATTCAGATTATGCCATCTCTAACTGTAGAAGTTGTGTAGAATAATTTCGCGATACCTGTGAAATATGTTTCTTGTATACAGTATTCGAGTAGTCTTTTTCACAATGACGACCGCATCAGTTACAACAGAATCACAGACTGAAATACGTGGGTATTTTATACCTATATGTTTACATTGTATGTAAATAATGCAAGTACAATAATTCTTCATCAACTATTCATGGATACAGAAAAATCAACGTACATGTGTTAAATCAAATGTATTAATGACGGAACACATATTTGTATCCACATATGTTGCTATCTCCACGGACAAATGTAAAGCGAGTTATTTTCAATGCATGGCCTCCATTCGTAAAATTTCTTACTGTACCCATTGAAATGAATTTTAACCATGTTCCTCACTTTTTCATCCTGTGTTGTCTCTACTGGATAAATGTTTCTATCCGTAGTTTATTTTTTTTTGTAATTCTTAGGCTTAGCTTCGGCGAGTTCGTCAATAAAATTCTTCGGAATCTTACGCTTCCGCTTCGCTCTGTTGTCCGCCTTTTAAACATTGGCGCTCTTTGCATATCCAATAACACTGCACATGTCAGGTGAGTAATGTGTTCAACTTTCTATGGGATAAGTTTAATATGCCTCGAATGTTATTAGTTAAAAAATCAGTCCCTGACAATCTGCACTTCGTGACGAAAGAACGCATTTCAACTGAATGCCGCTATTCAAAATAATCACAATTGACCGATCAGAACAAATGCGATTATCACCAGGAACCAACGAGAACTCAGATGTTATTGAGAGTGACTAGAATGATGTAACATTCTGGACTTATTAAACATTCCATTCGCAGTGTTATGCTAACTGTTTCCGTAGGGAACAAACCAGAACGCATATGCAGCGCCTATTGATTAAGATAAAAGAAAATAGGCAACTCCTATTGAATAACGAAACGTAAACAATGCCGCACTCGACGAACCACACTCAACCAGAATGCATAGCGGGCGAAGTGGCCGTTCTCAGCATTAAATTGTATCACAGAAACATAAAGCCTACCGCGTGTGTAATATTATACGACTAAATCTTTACAAACCTGATCAAGAATAGTCTTTTTAAAGCCTCCTATAGTCTTTTTGAGGGTCTATCGTCCATTTGCTTTTTTTTTTTGTTCTATTCATTCCGCGTTAGCGATTATGAAGTCATCGAACACGGAGGGAAAGCAGCCATATTATATGGGTCTCTAAATCAACCTCTAAAAACATGAAATGAGCGAAAGAAAGCTTCAGGATTTGGCAAGAAAACAAACAACGAGCTCGCAGAGTCCCTGCTTGACAGCATTTCAGCGGATAGTCAGACAGAAAGCTCCTCTCGGCGCCTGGGTGACCGTCAGGCAAGGAGAAGTTTACGATCCAAGACATCGATCGCGAGCCTAATTGGTTAAATGCAATATTTTTAGTGACCTTCCTCTCACGTGGGAAAATTAAACTCAGAGATATATTTCTCCAAAATTTAATCTGGGTATCCCATATTCGCATTTTGAAACTCTGTACGTTTTTATTTATAGTGAAGCATGACGAAGGCGTAACGCTTGTCCTCTTGCGAATCCTTTCTTTAGGCCTGGTTGATGACACCAATAAAATTTCATGCATTGAAAGGTCTCCGTCTCTTTGAAATGCGTTTGCACGTTGAGGGTCGATTCCCTGTGAAATCTTTAGCCCTTGTGCACTTGTGTGTCCAAGAAGAGAATCTTCGTGTCTGGCCCCGGTTATTCAAAGGGTGGATAACGCTATCCACAAGATAAATCTCTATCCGGTGGATAGCACAATACGTTTTGTTAAATCGCTATCCGCTGGATAGCGATTTATCCGTTGGGTAGCATTAGCCGTCCTTTGAACAACTGGGCCCTAATCGATATTTTAGCCATTAATTTAATTGTATCGTGGTAGCTGTTTGCCTGTCTTGCAAATTCTTCTATTCTGTCTAAATTGTGTTCCTCAGACAGAAAAGGTTGTGCCGTAAAATCAGAGTTAATACATACAACTGACAGGTTCTACCTAGATTGGTGCAAAGGCTGGCACGACGGGTTGTCGGGACTAATCACAAAGCGAGGCGAGGGATTCTGGTACGCGCCAGGAGTTCCGTTGTCACCTTTCGGACGATAAGTGTTAAAACTCGCCAGATCGAAGTCTTAATTTTCTCTTCCTATAATTCCATTCCTTGCGATTTATGACAAGGTAACACCTTGTTAATAGGTTTTTTCAATGACATCACCTGTTTATTGAATAAAGTTCGTACCCGAGCTGGCGCCTTGTCAGAGTTCTTGTCTGAAGCGCTAAATTTAAACTGTTTAACAAGGGATACCCAACTCGAGATGGTTGAGGCTAGAGCAAGCAAAAGGAAGAAACTTATTACGCTGGTTACTGCAATTGATGTTTTCTGTGATCTAGCACTGAACGTTGAACGTACTTGTTTTATGTGAAAAAGAAGCAGATATTTTGAGATACCATCTAGGCATACTCCAATAGATCATAAGTAACAACAGGTAAATATGCGTGTGGGATCCAGCTCACCAAATAAATGCTTGTAGATGGGTATCATTGACGCATTACATCTTTTGAATGCTCCTTGTCTTGCTTTATTTAAACTGCAGTATAATCAGTTAACATAGTTTCGACACTAGTTTAGTAAGTTTAGTAAAATGTTCCTTACAATAAAACTGCCGATAAAAAACATTAACACACTCCAAAAACATTCATTAGCTTGAGATCTAGAAATGCTTTGGAAAAAGTTATAAATCTCATAAAGAGTTTAAATGTATCTATGTAAGAACCGAGACTAGTCAAAAGTTATTTTAGATTAAACATACTGGCATAGCAACAACTAGTAAAAATCCAGTCTGTAGAGACGTTCGTCACAAGAAAAAAAGGTAAACAAAAAAGAAGCAAATACAAAAAACGAATGAGCACGAATCTTAAGAGCAGAGGGAAGAAACAAAAAAATTGATTTGAACATACTTTGGAAAAAATTACTTTTTTGCGCTCCTCTTTAAGGGAAAAAAATCCATTTGTTAATTTATTACTTTTATTTGCACTGGAATGTTCCGGTGTCAAAGAAAACAAACGATGACAAAGAAATAAACCAACATAAACAAAAATCGAAGCCTTAACTTCGAAAAGTTGACTTGAAATAATTCTAAACAAGAAAAACACGTTGTTGCTTCGCTTAAAACCACTCTCCTGTTAAAGGTGATATAATTCAAAACTAATTTGATTTCAATCTGTACTCTAAGCAAGACTTTCACTAAAGTAATGGAATGCAAATAATTCGTTCCTTCTCCTTGTTTGATTGTTTTTGTTTTGTTTCTCACCTATTTTGCTCTTTTTGCATTTGTGTATATGTTGATAGTCGCGCCGAGAATGTAGGGGAGACGCAATTTTTTTTGGTTAGGAGTAGTACAGTTTACTCCAACGAAACCTTTTATGCACCACTTCCAGCAAGAAAAAAAATTCCGTCTCTTTTGCATTATTGGCGCAACTATTTTGATATAAACAGGTACAAAAAGAACCAAAAAAGGGGAGAAAACAAAACAAACACAATAAAACTAAGTTATTTGCATCTCACCACCTTAAATCTACTCACACTATTTGTAGGAAATGGTCGCCAACATTTTAGTCTGAGGGATATCATGACATAATGACTTTCCCCACTCCCTTTCTACTTGCATCCACATTCAGTGATGATGTGCATCTCCTTCTCTTTGTGATCACCCGTGTGAACATGTTCTGTGGTGTAGTTGGTGGCGATACAAGCCCTCTCGCGAAAAACCAAGCAGTGCTGGGTACAATACTTGTTCCTGTATTGGAACATATAAATATATCATAATTAGGAACCAACCAAAATGCCTGGATCACTCAGCTTATCATAATAATTGCTGATTCTGCTTTCAAATGGTTTACAACCGCTGCCACAGACTCTGTCAACGAAATGCATAAAATTGCCTCAAAAGATAAATTATATGGAATGGAGCGACTCACCCAAAGAAACAGCGAACACAACTCCTGGGGCAACCAGTACCGACACACGTTCCAACATCTTTTTCCTGAAAATAATTTCAACATTGCATGAAGGAACAAACTATTCGATCTTTACATGCCAATGTATTTACAAGTATGCTTAAAATTCTCTAATCGTCTTTCATTCTTTTTTATGTCCTTCAGTATTTTTTTTTTACTTTTCGTTTACTACTGGTTTTTCATTTAAGAAGGATGCAATTTTTTGGAACAGCTTCTTAACCATTAAGCTCTTAAGACCGAGATGCTTATTGTCATCATTTTTTTCTTTAAGATATATCAGTACGTTATAGGAAGTTACGTATTCGTTCCACCTTGTCTTTATTTCGTCTTATTCATTAATTATTTCACTTTTTTTTTTAGCTCAGTGTACTTTTTAATTGTCGTCACTGCTTGGTTTATCACCTTCTCGTCGCATGAAAGACTTTGGAAGACTTTGACTCTTGCCGGAGTGAAATTTTTCAACCTTTTAAGGCACTGGTTTACTGAGTCAATGGAGTGAAATTTGGTCTGAAATCATACGCCTGATTTCAAAATCCAACGAGCGCTTAGCTCATGTTTGATTTGAAATCACAAGTATGATTTCAGACCAAAATTGCACAACATGAAGTTCAATTACCACTTTTTCACATCTATTTCGAAATCGCAACATTCAGTCGCTCGAATACAGGTTTTTTATTATTGATATGTACAAATGTTTTATTAATCCAGTATTGAGCTGGTTTGTAAAAAGTTGCAAAAGTTGTCTTTTATTTTCCTGCAATTTGATTGGTTTCTTCGAGCAAGCCTTTAAATCTTACTGATTGTCTTAGTAAAGCTCTCTCATTGGCTAGGAAAAAGAGGCGATTTAGAGCATAAAATGGTGCGACTTATGAATAAATGGCACCAATGAGAGCCGATCAGATTGCAAGGATTACCAGTGATTTCAAAATGGATGTAATGAAAACAAAAATATTTCCGGCAACCTATTTAAATAATTAGGTAAGTGAACTAACTTACGGTCTTAAACTTTGTTTCAGCAATCGTTTCTCTAAGTGCACACGAGTGACCACGAGTGACCACGGGTGACCACAAATGGCCACGAGTGACCACGAGTGACCACGAATGGCCACCAGTGACCATCGGTGACCACCAGTGACCACGAGTGACCACGAATGGCCACGAGTGACCACAAATGGCCACGAGTGACCACGAATAACCACGTGATTTTGATACCAGAAAATATTTCAATTACTTTTTAATTGTAGTCTCTTATAGTCACTCGTGATCACTCGTGTGTACTCTTAGACACGACCATCGTTTTAAAAGTATATTTGACACGGTACCAAACATAATGTAAGTTCAACGTCGCACAAGCAACGAAATATGTTTCTCTCACGATGATTTTGATTGTCATCAGCGATCTTTAAATTATGATTTCTTTTACCGATCACTTTCTTGTTACAGTCTCCATTACACACCTCTTGGATCCACGTGTTGCCCGACTTCCTCTTGAAAACTTCACGAAAAGCAACGCGGTGGCAAATTGGGTTCACGCAGCCACACTTCTTAATAACGCGATGAGTTAGCTCACCTTTTCCTATTTAGAAACGAGTAGTCAATTTAAGTATATCTGGATGACCTAGAGCTATATATTTTCCAGTCTAGCCCACCCACTTAGTTAACCATCACTTATTTCTAACAAAGGGAAGGCATCACCTGCTGCACCTTCGCAACAACACCTCTTAAGAATATTCAACATTTACATCTAGATCAATATCCTACCATTTGGCCCTTTTATGGCCATCATTAGGCTGTCAATGGCCTTGCACGCATGTCCACTGCTTCCACAAGAACCATGGCAGACACCTATGTCATGGCGAATGCTGTACGATGTTCCGTCAAAGAAGGTTTTGAATAAAGCTTGGCGACTGCAGCCGCTAGAGGTATTTTGATAGCCACACTTAGCAATAGCGGTCTTGTACTTTGAGCCACCAATGAGGGGATAACTTCTGCTGGTCACCTCAGTCGGGTTGCATGAAGAGGACCCACTGGACATCTTCTATGATCAAATCAGATTTTTCGAAAGGTTTATTGGATCAGTTTAACTTCACTTTTAGAACGAGGAAGGCCTTTTGCGCCGCTCTGTAACTTGGGGACTGTGCTGAATTCTTTCCTAAAGATACGATACGATACGCTGTAAGAGCTCGGATACCTCTCGTGTCTAAAAACCCTTTGAAATTCATGACAAGTACTATTTAGAAAGAGACAAGTGCGATGCGAGCATGAGAGAGGTATGCGAGGGTTCCTCGAGGTTTCTGGGCGCGTGCTTAGTTCGCTGGCTCGAGTCTCGCGGGCTCTTCGCCGCTCGTGTCGCAACGCTAATGTAATAAGCGCATGCTCGTAGGATCCATTCTCACCTCGGGAGTAGCTTTGATGGTGTCTGAGTCAGTGGCGTTGCAAGTTTCTACACATCGCCCCATATCTGCTTCATAAAGCCTGCGACGAACGTCTTAAAGAAAGAAAATGTAAAAAAATATCGTAAATTCAGTCACTGCAAATAAAATACCTTTTAATATAGTACACTTTTTGGTTTGTATTTGAAATGAAATATTTTCCATCCAGTCTGCAATTTCCAACTCAGAGGTTGATCAGAAGTTGACTTCATCGTCATTAACATTAGGTTTCGAGTGATTGTACCATAGAGTTTTCTCTGTATGTGTTACTTAGGCTGTGCAATGATTACTTGGAAAATGATGAAGGGCTCACATTCAGATCCACACTTCAAAATGGCGCTCCGAGATGCAACAACATCAACAACAACAACTTTAATTGTAACCTACATTAATTTACATGATACAAAATAAAATGGACCTAAATTTTTTCTTAAAACGTTTGAGAGAGAGAAGGTTTATGTCATCACTTATATCATTTTATAATAAAGTTCGTATATAACGCGCGCTGTCATTGGTTGAAAGAGCGTCCTCTGTGAGAGTATAGAGCATAGAGCTGAGCTAAAGCTGTCACGCCATCTGCCAAATTGGACTATGTCCGACCTTTTCCGGGACTTCTCTCTAGCTTTTTTTCGTTAATTGAAAGTGAAATTTCGAAAAAAGCAAGCCGGCAAGTAGCAACAGAACAACCAAACAAAGGTTTATTAACATGCCAAGCGCCGAAATTGACGTTATTATAACGTGAGCAGAGACGAAAATCCTCAAAGAGAAAACGAAATGGACAGTCCGAGTTTTGAAGGTTTTCACGCTCAGTTAGATTGCAAGCTTACGAATGGTAATAAAAATCAAACACAGCTAACACTCGTATAGTATATAAAGTTCGAGTTCAAAAACAAAACAGAACAAAACAGGAATGATAAAAAATATAGCCAAAGTGGCATAACTGCTATAATTCATACTAATCATGACGGTGTCAGAGCGACTGCGATCATGCTGAGGTCAAACGTGGCAAGCTCGGAGATCGCCAGTGAAGCAAGCCTCAGAAAATAGATCGATCACCCTTCGAGTGAACAACTAAGAGCTTGCTCTGATATCCTTTCCGATGCGTTGAGTGGTGAAGGCCACATCAGTCACTGCAACCGAGTTTTACGGCTCTGTCACCCCGAACAATCTTCATGTTCCGGTGAGCATGCTCTATGGCTGTCGTTCTTTCGTAAAACTCGCCTTGAGCAATTTGTTTACTATTTGTTATGTGAAAAAACTTGCGTGTTTTTGTGAGCCACAATTCGGCCGGATTTCACTGAA